GAGAGAGAGAGAGAGAGAGAGAGAGAGAGAGAAAGTTGGAAATAGAGAGATTTGGGAGGAAATCAGGGCTCGATTGAATCCTCGCATGTCAGGTATTAATTTTTTCACTAGAATAATATATAATATTTCAGTCTCCTTCTAGATTTTATTATTATTAAACTTTGTACAGTTAAACTTCGAAAAATCATTGGCATACTTCTTAACTTTTCTAGAAAAAGTAAATATGCAAGGAATTTCCATTCTTTAGAATGTTATGGATAAGATATTTTTCATGACCTATATTTTCTTATTTTGGTCTGGGGGTCATTGAACCTTCACACATGTTATGATTATATGATTTTACTTAAACAATTAGTTTAAAAAAATGAACGGATACATAAAGATTATTCTATTCGGGGAATAAATTTATTTGCAATAATAAGATAAATTTTATGAATAAAAATAGAATTAAGAGTAGAATAGGAAATCACGGCATTCCGAGAGATAACTGTTGCTCAAAGTCACTGGAGCTGTCAGGAACCGTTGATGTTTGAGACAGTGTTTCGTCGTTGGAATAAAAAAACTCATCCATCTCGTATGCACCTTGAAGAAACCGCAAGTCTCCGTATGATTTGTAGAAAAGCTTGAATGATTGACCCTGTCTCTCACATTCAATCTGAAGACTGTGCAGAACGGCGAAACGGCAGATGTTAATTTTGAATTAGGAGCAGACTCGACGACCTAATTCTTTAATAAATAATGATAAAATCTAGAAGAAGACTGAAATATTATACATTGTTCTAGTGAAAAAACTAATACCACACATAGGAGGATTCAATTGAGGCCCAATTCCCTCGCAAATCTCTCTATTACAGCAACTCTTCTCCACAATTGAGGGTGGCATCTTATAGAAGTAATTGACCTTGCAGAAAAGGCATTTCCAAACTTTATGTTCAGTCAAGTCGAGGTTAACACACGTGTGTAGATAGATTTGAAATCGACGTGCATCAAAGCGTGTGCAGCCTATTCCAGTCATTAAATTTTACCAAAAAAATCATGAAATTTTGATTTTTTCAAAATTTTTTCAACTCATTTGGACCCAACCAATTGGAATGAAGTGAAATCCACTGGGCAAATCCGTGAACTTCACTTTCCGCTTTAACATTTTTATTTCTTCAAAACTTGACGTGGTAGAAAGATTTTCCAAAAGACATTTAAAATCAGCTGGGGTCTGTTTGGTTTTCGAAGTCGAATACGGCCGAATTTTGTCGAACCGTGTAATCAACGCAAGAAAATATTTGGAATTGAACGGTTCAAATTTTGTTATTGCATATATTTTATTCATTTAAAATTCAATTGTAAGAACATTCGAATGGTTTTTTTTTGGTTGTTCAAGCAAGCATTAATTGGAAATGTCTTTTAATAATTTCTACCACACCCACTCATTACAAAGAGTATTAAGCAATTAGAAAAATAAGACATGTCAAATCATACTGTTTGCCTCTTGATTATGCTTTTATGTGGAAAATTGGGGGGTTCAGAAAAAAAATAATAGCTTCATCGCAGCTCCAGGAATTTCAAATGAATTTTAATTTTTCCGCAGACATTCATAATTAAAATATGTCAAATATATATTCTTTTTTCATGTAAAAAATGCTGCTGCATCGGAAAATTTATCTCAAGAATTTTTCCCATCCAAATTTCAGCCAACAGAATTGCACTATTCGACTGTAATTGTATATAGTGAACACAGTATTCAACTGATAATTTTTTATAATTCCACTTGTAATTTTTCATGTTGGTAGATATGAAAAACAAAACATTTCCTGAGTAAGGCCCTCGTTGGAACTGACAGATGGATTTTATCTCATAGTGCAATTTTCTGGGTCGAAATTTGGATGGCCCAAATTCTCTTTCGAATACCACTCGAGCATTAAAATTAATCGGGTATTTCCCTCAAGGTTCCCTGCATACAAACGAACTTATCGAGGAATACCTGATAATTTTGAAGCTCTTGTGGTATTACATACGATAATTCTACAAGGCTTACTCATGACTGAAGTCATTTAACGATTAGGAAATCAATATGAATTATTCAGTTCAACTCTGATTTCTTTCATGGATTTATGACAGAAGTTAGTGATTGTAGAACAATTAAAGCGAATTTGGGAGATTGTCTACACAAGAAAGTTCTTTCATCCATCATCTGAATTTCGGAATTCAATGCATTTTTGCATTTTCAAATTATTCTTGAGAATTGATTCCTCAGTTCTTCAAATTGATTGTTTACCTCGAGACTGTTCTCTTGCAGACTGGGTCGTTTTTCAGTAGTGTGAATAGCTCGTAGATTACCCTGGGTCATTCCTTGATTATGATTGTTCTGTAAATATGGCGTAGAAATACTGTTCCTATGCGGAGAAACCATAAAGCTAGTGTTCTGAGCATGATTAGTTTGTAGATGTGGTAAATTAAGACTTGGCTTCCTACTATGCGATGAATTGTGCGATTGGGCGTTACCAAATCTTCTGCTGTTGTAGCCGTAATTAATGTGTTGCCACCTATTCAAATAGACAAACCATTGATTCAGTACGGGAATTAAATAATGAATGACTTGATTTTTTTCAATGCGAATGAATTCATGGATAACTGGTTACGTTGTTGAAATGAGTCAACGAAAGATGGTGTGTTTACTATTTTGCGAATATCCCAGAAACGAATGAGGTCAATGGAATTTGTCAGAAGTTCATTTATAGTAAAAAAATCTTGTGTGGTAAAAAAGTTCAAAATGAAACGGGAAAATTGTGGATTCATATTGGCTTCATATTAGTATTAGCGTTGCAAATCTATCTCGCGATAAATTCCACTTTCAACATATCATCACTCTTTGAGATATTTATAGAAAAAGACAATCATATGCATTAATTTTCTGGATATTATGCATTTCGAAATGTAGAAAAAAATAGATTTTTCCATTAGTTGTATAGTGATGGACAAATGAAGGTGAAAAAAATATTTTAAATGAACTTACTTGGGTGTTGGTCGTGGATTGCCCAATCGACTACGCCACTGCTGTACCTTTTCCTTTTGGTTTGGAGTAAAGCAGTCATGTTGCAGCACCTTTTCCAAAATGTTAATACAAGCGCATAATACACCGTCATCCACACTTTCCAGAGCTAATCTGCTGCACACTATAATTTTTAAACAATGGGAAAAGAAGAATTAATAACCCCATTATCATTGACATACAAGAACTATAAATCGACATCTAATAAAACAAGGGTATTTCAATTTTCTTTTTAAAACAAGGGTATCTCAAAACTCACGTGAAAACTTGTTTTTCACATCCATTTCTAAGTCTCATGGAGCTCACAAATCATTTTAGTTCTCTTCCAATATGAACTACTTCATATTACTTGTACTTTTTGATGGATTCATACCATTTATAGAGCTGTCAAGAGACGACACGAGTGAGACTTCAGATGATTTTTCATATGAATTATGAGATATCCTAGTCTTATCATGAATTTTGAGATACCCTTGTTTTATTAGGAAACGTCGAAATTAAAATTCCTATTCATAAGAATGATACAAAAAGATTTACATTCAATCAAATAAAAAAAATCCCTGACATCAATGAACAAAATAAAAAAATTACATTTTCCCAAAACCCTAGTGAACTGTCCAGGAATGTCCTGCACGTCATTCTCTTGACTGGATTTGAACGGAGTAGCCAAGATGGTATTCAACTCATCGAGTGTGGAAACCAACAGAGCGGGCGCTTGTGAGAATGATGCAGGCTGACTGCTCTCCCTGGCTGGTTGAATGAGATCCTTTTCCAAATTAATCAAGGTGCTGTAGCGTTGTTGCAGCTTAGCTATCGATAACGCGAGCTTATGCCTGGCACCCTTGGTAACCCCCTGTTCTGCCAGTTGGTCCTCGGTGAGCTCGAGCATCTCTTCATAACTCATTGTAGCGAAAAGGTAACTGTACTTGTGAAGACGAAGTGTCTTCAGCCATGCAGGTACATCCCTCATCCCACTTGACAACGTTCGACTCGAGGCTTCATCGAGTCGTCCCTCACTGCCAGAAGATGTACAAGAGCTCTGGGGACTCAGTGGACCCAAGCCAATGAGACTTGAATTGTCCCCAGAGACGCTGAAGCTTCTTGGCTTGTGTCTAGTTGCACTACTCGTGTTATTTGTACGTTCTGCTATTTCTAAGTGATGTGGAGGTGCTACAGGTGGGGTGAGACTGTTAGAGCGTCTGTGTCGTGCCACAGGCTGCTGAAACTGCAGACTGAATCCATTTCCAGAGCCTCTGAAACAGTCAAAGTTGTTTTGTTTGCTCTGTTGAGGTTTGTTGGACAACCTCTGCCACGCAGGGTCCCATCTTATGGGAGTGTTTGTGTACTCGTCGAGGCTGTGAATAGCCGGACTACAGCTGATCCTCTCTTGTAGGTGTTTCATTAGCTGTGAAAGGGATCGACGCTCCTGGTTTGTTATTGCTGGGTGGATCAATGTGTAACTGAGGAGCTGTTGAGTTTGCTCTGTGTAGAGAGGGGTTTGAAGTGCGTGGGATAGGAGCTCCGGAATCACTACCAGGTAGACTCGCTTACACTCCACGTTTCCTGGACGAAGAAGTGGCAGATGCGTCAAGAGCTGGCTTATTGCAACATCCGTGGGCTCTGACAGCAACGAGTTTATGAAAGCTGAAATCAGGCAAAAATGAAGATTGAATGGAGACTCTTTTAGAGATTTTCATGAAATGGACTATCCAATTCAGTAACAAACTGGTAAAATAGTTCAAGTCAATTTTGACTATTGGCCACTTTTCAATAAATATCGCGGAATCTAAGGGAGATGGCAAAAGTTTTGTTATGATCTTTTTTGTAGAGCCAATTGAGAGCTACAACAAATGTAATTACGAAAATTTCATTATCTCCCTCAAATTTGGAAATAATCCTCAAAAACTCAATTGGGAGATAAGTCAACTTAAACCGTTTTACGACCTCACTACTGAATTAACGATAAAATTTTAAAAATTTATGAGAAATATGTTCTGCCACATATTTAGTTCTGATTTCTTCGATTATAGAAACATCAAGTTCCTCACATGGTCTACTCCAATCTATAGTTATTGAAATAGGTCTATTTTCTATTTTCCTATTGTTCAAAATACTTCGTCAATCAATTATGTCAGGACACAATGCCAGAGAAATTATCTTTTTGTCAACGAGAAAAAATATGTCCAAGTATTTTACTCAATTTTTGAGCAAATATTTTATGGTGAAACTAAATGAATAAGACTTGGTCAAATTAATTTTATTATTTTGGCCTTTTGAGGTTCACATACCAGCTGCGTCGACGTCGCGAATGTGATTTACAATTTTTAAAAAATATATCCCTCTGAAGGGAGGAGCTGTTAGGGAGATCCTGTACAACTACCTGAGCACCCATAATTATGACATGAGGTGTCTCAAAGAAATTTAAATTCCTATTAGCTACCTAAGTTACCTGGAAATTAAAGTCACGAATTTTTAGTTTCACCCATTTTATTGCTGAAATTCGAGCTGAAATACAAAAATTGTGCACATTTTGCCCTGATGCTAATCGCCTTGAGCACATACCTGCTTCCCTCGAATCTCAACCAGATGCCAGTTTGATAATTTTCTATTTTTATCATTTACCTGGATTATTAGCATTGAGTTCTTGCGTATCAAGATCCGACACAGACAGCAGCGAATGCTGTACAGCCTGCGCCAAGAATCTCGCCTGTACCGCAGGTATCTCTCTCAGCAATGCATAAAGCACAACAGTCTGTTCGCACTCATTCCACTGTGAAAACACCCGTGTCAATTCAGTGACTTGTTCACTGAACAGCGGACCTGGTGCCCACTTCATCCTTGAATCCGCCTCTTCCTGTGTTATCAATGTCTCTCGTTTATCCTTCAGCTCAGCCTTATTCAAAAATGACCGTTGAAATCGATCAGCGTTGTCTCCTGAATATAAACAAACCAGACTAAATTATCAAACAGCCCCACCATCAATTCACCACACATTGAGCAAACCAACTAACTCTCATAACATCACAAACACGATAATTAAACAATTACAACTGATGAGTTCACCTCACAAAATGTGGAAAAACAGAGACTGAAAAATAAAACAAGACGCCGCCAAGCGAAAACGGAGCACCACCCAACGCACGACAGGTCATTCGCCCCGTCTGTTTCTCGCAGCTCGAACCTTTCTCAACACTCACACTATTCCCGTCTGCGTGTGTTTTCCGTTCAATCGCCATTGGTGGTTGACTCTGTTACCCCCTCCCCCCCTCCCTCTCCGGCCCATTATCTACCTAAAATAATTTATTAAACTCCACATAACCTCTAAAACCCTTTTTTTTTAAACAAAAACTCACACGCAAGGAGATGCCCTGATCCAAGAGATAAGAATTCCGATGAGGTCAAGTTTGTTTACCCCGCACGATGGGTGTATTTATAGTACAAGCCGCCTGCCATAATCCATTCCGGCGATGCAGTGACGACAGTTGAAAAAATACACGAATTTCATTCGCTGAATATTTTTATTTTCGTTGAGAGAATTGTCGTTAATTTTTGCGTTTAGGTGAAGGATCTTATTCTGGAATGGGATGAATTTTGGTGATATTTTTTTCGGGGGAGAGAAATTGAGAGAGAATTGGATACACTGAGCGGCGCCGTTTCCCGTGTGAGCGTCGCTCCTATCCCACTCACAGGTTTTTACGGGGCACAGAGGGGATGGAAGGGGAAGGAGGCGTCAAGTATTACCACCACGACATATGCTACGTGAAATTCTTGGGAAAATTTCAACGTTTTTTCTTACATTGAATTTTTCAATTGTTGAAATGTCAATGAATTGGTGGTCCTTCGGAAGATATGTTGGGTTGGTGACAATTTTTTCTCTTTTGTTCTTGTGGGTTTTTCTATTCGGAGAACATGGAATAGGTACGGGAGGAATCAGCCATTGACGACTACACAACACTTTTCGAATTATTCGAAGGTTTCTCGTTGGGGTTTGGAGGTTCATCAATTCGTCAATTATGTGAATTAATTAGGGTTAGACGTTAGGTTTGAGGTGGTATTTACCCGTAGATGGTTGACGATGATCGGCGATGATCCACTCATGTAAACAAATGTTAGGTGTAACACTGTACTGCACGTTTTATATGCACCGTTAGAGCATTTTAGCGTTGAATTTTGTTTCCTCTACCCCCTCGAGTGTATGTGTAGATGTGTGGGTTGTTCCACCATGCGGTTTGGTGGGCCTACGTGATCAAACTGTGCCACACTGGTTCAGTGCCTCCGCGGTGCTATGAATTTCTGGCGGTGGCTCAACGGTATTGGATGACTGTCATGGACAGCGACCAATCGGAAAGGTGCGTAAACTGGAAGACCCGTACAACTGAGGTGTTTGGCAACCCTGCCACTATGTTATATACATACGAAGAATGATCCTGCACAGCAGGAAATTCGGCTGGAGGAATATTATTCTTCTTTATTTATGAAATTTCCGTAGGTGGAATTCAATTTATTCACGGATTTTTAAAATTTCCTATTTAAATGTATGGGAATAATTCAGAATGTCTTTAATTTCATCGGAATAAGAAGTCGGCAATTCATGAATGTTCATGAATCGCCGGATCAAGGGATCATCCATATTACATATGAAGCTAGTGTATCAAAGATGTTTGAATTCACGTACAGTTACCTGGGACAAGTCAGAGGTTGATAAGTCTCAGATTTAGGGCCAGTTTTCAGTTTAAGGGGGAACAGAACCCCTGTGTCTAGATGAATTTTTATAATTGTGTTTTCTCCTATAATTATTACTTTATATCTATGAAATTACTTTATCGACTCGATCCTTCCACTGTGGAGTCAATGAGTAGTTTCATAAATGAAAAATAATAATTGCAGGAGAAAACACAATTGTAAAAGTTTATATAGCGCAGGGGTTCTGTTTCACCTTAAATAAACCGCGGTTAATTCATGATTAAAGTTAAAGCCCACCACCATTAACTTTAACCGAGCTTTTACTATGGTGAGCTAAACTAAAAACTGGTCCTTTGGGTGAAGTTTTACGATTGGGTTAATTCAACTTTGACCCACACGGAGGGAAAATTCTAGCAAAAATTGGTGGACTCATGAGATCAATCATGGTCACCAATGAATTCGGATGTAACACTCAAATTTTTTAAGGGTATCCCCCGGAAAAGTAGCGTAAGATCACCAAAAATTAAAGGGTTACATTGAAATTTTTACGTGAACCATTCTATTTTTTTGGTGGCCCCTAGTTGCTCCCACGGATAGTGTGCAACACACCAATTCTTAAGGTACTCCCGCAGTAAGTATACTTGGTGAAAATTTCGAAATGGTATAAAGACGCAATATTTGGATCATATGTTGTTGACCACATTAAAAAGATATTCCCAAAATTTCAAGTCCCTGGTCCACCCCATTTTTGAGGCATGCATCGCCAAACATTCAATTTTTGTGTTTTTTCCATTTTTGACGATGTATATCTCGAAAATGGGGTGGACAAGGTACTTGAAATTTTGGGAATAGTTTTTGAATGTGCTCAACAACATATGATCCAAATATTGCGTCTTTATACCATTTCGAAATTTTCACCAAGTATACTTACTCTGCGGAAGTTCCTTAAAGGGACTCGCACGGGTTTGCCATGTACTTTTCTCAACATGTACATTTCATCGCCTATCTCAATTTACCAGCCCCTATGTTTGCCAAGTGTTGATGCTGCAGATTTCAAAGTGAATGGTAACAGTAGAGAGGAACATGTAAAAAGTACAAGCCTTGTCGAATTGTGGAATGATTGTAATTGGAAGTACACGACCTCAGTATATGAGGTATTCCATGCCAAATGAGTCAACGGCTGACTCTCTACTGGCATGATTACGATTCCTTTGGCGCCACGATTTAACTTATGTTTTCCGTACCATTTTTCCCCAGGATTACGGGAAAAATAATGAAACAATTCCATCTCCAGAGTTCCGTTTGAACTTTGGTGAAGAGCGGTTCTCAATAATATGTGTAGAAGTCATTGTGACGTTAAAAGTTTTCGTTCGTAAAAATAATCGTGATTCTAGTTTTGTTTAGTGAATTAAAGTGAATTTATTGCACTATTTGAATTAGAGAGATTTATGTGCCAAATTCTCAAGACTTATCATAAATTATCCAGCGCTTGCAACTTATTGTTGACTTTATCAATTTCATTCTGTGTATATACGAGTTCTGCTTCCGAATAGACAGTGAGTTAAAAACAATTAAATTGCAATATGCCAAAAAAAAGCTCTTGACCAAGATGATGATGATGTCATACCTGTAGCCAAAAGACAAAATTCCTTATCAGAATCAGATTATGATATAACGGCGAGGTATACAGAGAGAGCGAAGGGTCCGTATATTGTTCATGTTTGGGATACCGGTGATAATCCTTTATTTGGTCCCAATAACCTTGGGAAGCTACACATCCAAACATTAGGCCAAAAATTTATAGAATATCTTGACAAATTATTGATTGAAAGAGCTGGGAAAGAGAAAATTTCACTGACCTTCAAGGATTATCGTGATGCGAATATTTTGATAAATAATATTTCTAAAATTAATATTGATTGGAGAGCATCAATTCCTACATTTAAACGATTTCGTGTGGGGATTCTCTTGGGTGTAAATACGGAATTTTCTGAGGAATCATTAAAGAAGGGGATTACAGTATTTAAAGATACCATTGGTGGAGAACGAGTGGATCCTACTAGGATAGTAAGAATCAAGAAAAAAACAAAAGCTGTTGAGGGCCAAGAGGAGGAAAAAATTGAAAATACTACCACTGTAAAAATTTTTTTCAAGGAGGAAGATCTCCCCAGAGTAGCCACTGTATGGTTTTCGAAAGTAAATATTAAGCCATATGTACCTCCTGTCTTACAATGTTTTAAGTGCTTCAGATTGGGTCACACGAAAAACAATTGCAATAGTAATAAAACCATATCGTGTCCTAAATGCTGTGGAGAACATGAGGCACTTGGATGCTTAGCAGAATCTCTGAAATGCGTTAATTGCGGAGGTCCTCATGATGCATACTTTAGGGATTGTCCTAAAAAAATTCAATCTATGGCGATAAACCGAATACGTGCTCAAGAGAATATTTCATATAACGAGGCAAGGAGGATATATTTAGGTCGAAATAATTCTTTCATCAATAACAGACATCAGAGAAGATCGTTAACGTACATTGAAGACAATGATAATCCTGATCCTTTTGAGATAGAGAGATATGGCAGCTCTTTATGTTCCGACAGCCCAATGTCCATTCAAGGCCTTTCACAAGTTATCACAAGTCAACAATTACAGGATCTCATTCAGGAATCTAGCAGTAATATGGTAAACCAATATCATAACAAATTAGGAAATTTATTACAAAAACATACAAGATCCGACAGTAATTGAAAAGATAATCAAAGAAGCAAACACCTTGGATTAAAATTTTTTCTTTATTTGCAAAATGAATAAAAACAGGCTCTTGAAAATTTGTCAGTGGAATTCTAGGAGTATTTATCAAAAAAGAGATGAATTTCAGAATTTTTTAAATGTACATGCTCCAGATATTGTTTGTATTCAAGAAACACACTTGAATCCCAGAAACACAAATTTCAAATTCAATGGATACAAAATAGTAAGGGAAGATCGAAGAGATCAAACATTTGGCGGTGTTCTAATTGCAATAAGACAAAATATTGAGTACTCCATTGTTTCCAATCTTGATATGCCTAGCCAATTGGAGTGGATATCAATACAAATCGAGCAAGATTCTCATCCATTGGTAATTTTCAATATTTATAGACCCCCTGTGAAATTCATCTCGCTGTCTGGATGGAAAAAATTTTTTGATTCCGTCTTGTCCCTTGGAAAAGATTTTTTGATCTGTGGAGACTTCAATGGACAAAATAGTATTTGGGGTAGTACAATTAAGAAGAATCCTACAGGCACGATAATAGAGGAAATTCTTAATAATAGAGATATTTCTATTTTAAACACAGGAGAAAGAACTCGCAGACTTACGAATAGACCGCCTAACTTGAAGAGTGTCCCTGATTTATCTATGTGCTCTTCTAATATTGTTATGAATTTCAAATGGGAAGTTAACAATGAAAATATGGGTAGTGACCATTTCCCCATCTTCATTACGTGGCTTAAATACTTCCCTTTCCACAAAATATCAATCCGAGATAAGGTAAATACTTCTAAGGTTGACTGGAAAAAATATAATCAAGAAATCAAAAAAGTTTTGGAAGAATTGCAATTATCGTCTCCCAAAGAAGCATATGAAAAATTAGTTAGGCAAATCTCTGAAAAATTATTATCATCGGGAGGCAAGAGAAATCAGAGCAACTTATCAAGACCAGCCCCTCCTCCAACGATTTGGTGGACTCAAGAGTGTTCTGATTTGATTCAAACGAAGAAGTTTTCGAACTTTTTGCACTAGTTTATCACCAGAAAGAAATGTTAAAGAGACCTGGAATATCATCAAAGGGTTTAAATCAAGGTTCAATGTCCCGCCCCAGAACACTTCAAATAGTCCGTTGGACCCAGAGGTCGTGAAAGCAATAAATAAATTAGATAGATATCCTTTTGTTGATAAAATAGAACTGGAGTA